CCATTTTAAAGTTTGAAGTTATATTGAAAAAGTGCAAAGTCGCGCAAAGTTAATAAAAAAATATCTTATTAAAAAATTGTTAAATAAAAAATTTTTTATCTATTTTTATTAACTTTGTACGACTTCACACTTTTTCAATATAATTTCAAGCTTGAAATGGATTATTTTCACCGAAAAAAATGTTTAGTACAAAAAATATTACAATATATAAATTCAAATTTATTACTTTATTTTATATTTCGTAAAATTATTTAATATTTCATATAAAAAAAGTAAAGAGAGGATTACCTTTCAACAAAAATGCTTTTATGTTTCGTTAATCCATGATTGATCCGATCAATGCTGAGACAGAGATCACTGATCCGGATTAGTTTAGGGAAATTTAAAGAGTCTATTAGTTGAGTGTCACTGCTTTGTCCGATCAGAGATCTGGGGCTTTATTCTTAAAACATATCGTATACGAAAATCCTATAGTTTATGTAACATATATTATAGGATTTTCGTATGCGATATGTTTCAAGAATAGAGCCCCTGATCATTTGTCGTAAACACCCATTGACTGCGTTCAGCAGAGAAAGCAGATCAGTGAACACTCAGTGATTTTTCAATATGATTGGTCCTTGCCTTTAGATCTTCGTTGAATTTAAGTGTGAAAACCAATCATAATAAAGAATCACTGATCTGCTTCTCTGCTAAACGCAGCCATTGATCGTAGCCCTAGTGCGGAAATAAAAAACAAACTCATGGTCAGTGCTACGTAATGCTCCGGCGGATGTTTATGATAGCTTATGAACATTGCGATTAACACTTATGCCGGACTACGCCGCTGTTACAAATTTATTTTTCGCATCTTTTCTGACTTATCGAAGCAGTTATCTTATTTAGACGTAAAACCCCGGGAAAAAAGATATCACTATTTCGCGCGACATGACAACCATCAATAAGCCTAACCCTTTTTATTATTCATTAAGCGGCAACAGAGAAGAAGATGAGGTTAGTTTTCGCAAAGTATAATGAATGAATTCTTTGCTTCACTTCTTTTTTAATATTATTGAAAAATAAAATGTGTTAATATGGGCATGTATTAATGTGTGCATCCTTTGTTTCTATTGCATTGGTTTTTACCAATTCTAGAAAGGAAAATTATGCCCGATATTCATAGACTGTGTTCGGGAAGCGCGCTATCGGTGCTATCGCATCATTCTATCCTTAATTTATATCTAATGATAAAAATAGAACGACGCGAGTAGCGCTAATAGCGCTTTATTCGATGCAGCCATAATTAATCCAGGGGATTTACAGACGGTTCAAGGTCTCTGTTTTGGCCTAATAATAGATGTTGATATTATACTGGTAAGGTATGTTAATATTGATTCAATATTGGCATAATATGCATAGTATTGAGATGATAAATCTAATGCAGAATCAGTTCTCAGTATCATATCTAGAATTTGATATTATTTTAATATTAGTCTAAGAAGATATTAGGAAGCAGTGAAAGCAGAATTGGATGGGACTGAAAATAATGAGGATAAATAGAGCAAAAATGAAAGCAGCAGAAGATAAAGGAGGTAAAAAATAATTCAAAGTAGTTTAATGAGGAATATAAAGCAATAAAGAAGAAAGATGAAGCAAGAAGTATTTATAATGAGAAATGAAAAATAATAGAATTGAATATTACAATAAGGGAAGAGCAGCTACTAAATTACATAGAAGGAAAAAGAGAGAATACTATAATGATGAAAAGAGGATAGTAATAGCAGCTAATTATATAACAAATTCTATAGTCATAATTCATGTAAAGCAATATTTCAAAGAATTCAGATCAAGAGAACATTTGTATAAGGGTAAAAAAGAGAACACTTCAATAAATAAAACTCACATTTAAAAAGTAGCAAGAATAATTTGGGAATTATTGAATAAAGAAAAGAAAAATATTAATGAAAGAATAAAATGAAGATGAAGCAGAATATATAAAAGTCAGAAATTCAGAGAACGTCAATAGATGAAATTATTAAGATAATAAAATTTCTAAAAAATAATAAAGCAGGATGTGACCGCTGAGTTGTTACAAAATGGATAGACATGTAGTATTATGTTATATCGATAGTCTTATAAATCTAATTTGGGACAAATCCCAATTGAGATAATTTCTGAAGAATGGAATCATCTTATCTTAAAAAGGATGACAAACAGGATTAAAAACTACAAAGAAATTGACTATAGAAAGTGACTATTAATGTGGATTCTGACCCAATGTTCCACGATAGATCATATATACATGATGAGATAAATATTAGAAAGAGGACATAAGTATAACATCAATATAAATAGTTTGTTTTTTGACTTCTAGCAAGCATTTGATACAATAAATAGATAGAAATTATTTCTAAATTTAAAACTTTTCTCAATAAACTTTTCTAAATTAATTTTTTCAATAAGCTAGTCAAAATAATGCATTTGATATCAAAGCGGCAGTAATGATACAAAATATGAAGACAAATAATTTTGAAATTAATAATTATGTAAGATAAGAAAATGCTTCATCGACAATTCTCTTTAATCTAATATATGCAGCCATATCCAAAGTTCCAATGAAAATCTAATTACTAAAAGTAAATAAATTAGCACATATGCTGACAATATTGTTATAATGGATCATGACAAAAAGCAAAAAGGAGACATTTGCTGAGATGGAAAAACAAATATAATAAAATACAATAAAAGTTGGATTGTATATAATAAACCAAGAAAAATAAAATACATACTAATATCAAAAAACGCACAAAGTTTTAAAAGAACAACTAACTTTACATATCTAGGAACACTTGTAAATAAAAATAATTCTATTAGAAATAAAAACAAACAACAATAGGAAAAAGAAATAAAGCTTATTTTGCAAACAAAAGTCCATTATATTATCAAATCCTAAATCACAAATCAAAGATGCAAGTTTACAAAAGCTTAAGATCTATTGTGATTTATGACAGTAAAGCATGGATTCTAAGTAAGAAAAACGAAGAAAATTTAAAAACTTCAAATGTAAAATATTAAAGAAAATTTATGGTACAAGATGATAATAAAGCCTGATGATGAAAATATGCATGAATTTTGAACTCTATGCACTGATTAACAATCATGAGAACATATTAAATTTATTAAAGTGCAAAGGGTTAAGTAGCTGGGATATGGATGCAGATAGATAGAGATAGAAAATAAAAAGTTTATAACAGAGTGGAAATCTGTAAAAATTAGACCAAGAGAAAGACTGAGAAAAAGATGAATGGAATATAGAAGGACGATGGAAATCAGAGATCGGAAGAGAAATGCTGAAGATAGAGAGGAATGGAATTGTTCAGGAAGTAAAAATCTGGAGGGTTGTAAAGCTGGAGAAGATATTAACTCAGTATCAATCAATGACATAGGATCATTGACTTTCAGTAGTGTTACTACTATAGTTGTAACTATAGTTACTATTATACAAAGGTTTGTTTTCTGTTCCTGC